ATGCTATTGAAAATATTTATAAAAGCATTCCTATTATACAAAAGGAAGAATGATGTATGGAATATTTGATAAAAGCATTCCTATTACAAAAGGTATAATGATGCTTATGGAATATTTGGCAAAACTTTTGAGAGAATTGATGAAATTAATGACACTCCTATTGTTTAATTAAGGTACAATGATGTTGTGATGACATTATTTGATAAGTGAAATTAAAGACACTTATACTCGTATAATTAAGATACAATGGTGTTGTAATGGCATTGTCTAATAAGACAATTGGTGTTATTTTGAGAAATTTAAATCTCTAGCTAAATTTTGACATTCCTATTGTATAGATGAGATACATTGATGTCAAATTTGTATAAAATTTGTATGAGAAACTAGATATGAGAAAATGCCCCTATTCACTTCAATATAATTATATTAAATATTTTTCATTGTATTAGAAAATACAATAATGCCATCATATTTTAGCACAATGATGGAGATGCAAAAAATAAATACTATGTTTACCATTAGCTCAAGTACGTGTGTGGTGAAACTTAAATTGACTAAAAAGTCAAAGACAATGAAAAAGCAAACGGATACCAATGAAAAAGAAAACAAGTGGATGTTTTGTTTTATATAAAATAGTAAGGATGAAAAATTCCTACCACTTGTTTTAGCACTAATAAATTGATTAAGTGCTAGTTACCTAATCCTTTAAGTGTGTATTCAATATTATGGGAGTAAATCTTTAGCTAAAGTCAAAGGATTGGATGATACATCGAGGGGGATGTAACTAAACCTATAAATGAATAAAATCACCTATGTGGATACTCTACCTAGGGACTAGAGATCTTAGGAACTAGGTTCAAGAAGAAGAACGAGCATAGAGTGGTTTGATTACATGCACAATTTATTTGAGTTACAATACTCATATGTCTATCCTTATGGTGTAGTGCATGAATCCCATAACGAAAGAGAGATTAAGTTTCTTTAAATGAAACTTTTAATGTGATCTATAGTTCTTTTTGAATGGGATGTTAGAGTTATGCGAGCATCCTTGATAGACACACCTATATGAGTGAGGAATGGGGCCACTTCCTATGAGAATCGAGCTAATTCTCTAGAACACTCGGAGAAGCCGGGATCAAGCATAAGGCCGTTAATGTGCCGGCTCTAAAAGTCGTCGCAGAGTACTCGAATATAATATGTGTGATACAATATTCATTTCACTTAAAAAGCCTTAGTTCAAGACAATGTTCACCATTGGCTTGAGAGAAATGTTGAAACACTAAGTAAGGGTTCAAGCCATTGGCACCCTTATTATATATTATGTTTGTTTTCTTACCAAAAAATATGGCTAATATTTTTCATAAAAAAAAGTGGGGAATTGTTGGAGTATTTTTATAAAAATATATATATTTAATTATATTAAATACTTTGAAAAAAATAAATAGAAAGAGGTATGTTTCAAACGAGTGCATTTACTGTTTGAAATTGTCGAATAATAGCCTTTGCTATTTTTGTGAGTTACAAAACTTAACAATAAAAGCAATGGTACAATGCCATTATGTTGTACCGTTTGAATTTTTTTTTTATGCTTTAAATTCATGGCTTTAATTTTTGTTCTAACAACTCTTTTTTCTTTTTCAGCTATATATATGTGTGTGATATTCTACCATTTGAAAAACAATAACATCTTTATATTCTTGTTATTTAGAGAGAAAAAATTATTGCAATGTTTTTCAGTGAAGAAGAAAAATAATTCTTCATTTTTGGTGTTCTTTACTCTCCCACTATAAAGCCATATAATGTTTACTTTTTTTTTTTTTTTAGGGTAAAAGTGGTACTGAATTTTATTTAGAATTTCAAGTCGTATAAGTAGTGCAAATTTGTTAAGACATAGCAATGTGACTAAGCTTGTTGTATCCCCGAGATGACGTGCAATATATTTTTTATCTATTGTATCGGATAAATTTTGTGGATGATGCATATCGTCTTAAGAAAGCAACCTTGTTGTGTCTTGAGCTAGTCATCGAAAATTATGGTAAAACTATTTTGATGGTTCTGGTCATCTTTATACCGCGAAATATGATAATGTGACTTTAACCATTAATTTTTCTAATGATCAAGATAAAAAATTCAAATTCTTTATTTATTTTAATTTATAATAAATCCATTTATATATTGTTTTAATTTTTATTATTTAATTATGTTTCTTTTGTATGTTAGGAACAACAATTACTAATAGATTAACGAGCAGAGGTTGTGGCTCGTGACGAGGAAGAAAAATGTACTTTCTTAAGTTATGATGCTTTGTCTTTGAATGTTAAAATAGCTTGTAGGCATGATAAGTTTGGATTGTTTGGTTTTAGACGAGATTGATTTTATTTGTCTTTCAAGGGCAAGATTGCCTGGCCATCCTAGCTAGTTGGGTATACGCTGATTTGTCCTCCCTTATACTTCTTTTTACATTCATAAAATTTGTCAGGATATTATCTCTGTTTAGAAATATATTTTTATTTCTTTCAACCAAATACTTAAAAAAAAAAAAACAAACAAACAAAACAAAACTTTGGTTTTCATTGTCACATTCTAATGCTTGTTACCAAACAACACTTTAGTTTTTTTGGTAAATAAAATCAGCGAACAAACAAGCCACTACCTGCGTGATGGACGTACATAGCCTCCCTCTTCGGTTTTAAAAATTTCCCTTCACGTAATGGAGCGCGTAAGGAAGTCCCGTATTCTTTTGATCTTTGTAATTTTGTATCTTTTCATTTCATAAAATGTTATCCATACAAATAAATCATAAATTTTATACAACCAAATGCCGCAAGTGAAAACGATGAATTATTAATCTTACACATTTTAAATGATTGATTGAATTGCTACTTCAGTGTGCTTGATTTGTTTTGTAACTATAACATATTACACTTTGATTTAACATTATAAAATTCATTTTACAACCATTATTTGCTAGAAATTGCGTAACCCATTTATAAACTTTATAAATTACAGTTTTACATTTTGAGTAATTTCAACTAATATCTTAGAAATAATAACATAATGTATTATGCAAAAAATACTAATATAACTAGTATCATATGTAATAAATAGAAATTATATATTGATTTATATCTATTGACACCTTTTGAACTAACTTTTTTTTTTTTTTTGCAATTACTTGCACTATAATGTGTTTTGATTAAGATTTCTTTTGTTAAATTTTTATAAGAAAAAGAAAAAGAAAATTATTAAATATTAAGTAAAAATCATGTTTTTGACCATTAAATTGAAAAACCTATTTTATAATCAATAAATTTGAAAATTTTCGATTTATATGCTTCATTAAAAGTCAAAATATTTTATAATTTATGTTTCTTCTCTAATGATAAGAGAATTTTTTAGACTAATTTGTATGTTAATCGAGATTGAATTTATTTTCTAACAATAAATTTTAATTATTTTTTTAATATTGACTTCAAATTTTAAACCAAAAATTCAATAAGTATTAAAATTCAAAAATCTCATATTCTCGTCTGTGTTTGTTTGGAGAAAAACAAGTTTCAAGAACTTGTTTTCTATATTTTTTCAGTGTTTGTTTCGCATTTAGGAAAAAAGTCAACGAAAAATAATTTTCAGTCAACAAAAAATGATAAAGTATTTTTGAAAATTTTTTTTTCTAGTTTGAAAAAAGAAAAATATTTTTCTTTTCATGAGCTATCTCACTATCGAGTGACATACCTCTCTCTCGATATATTTTAACAATTTTTTTTCTCTATGTTCTTTTTATGTAAAATATATTATATCAATTTTTAATTATTTCTTATCAATTATTATTAATTATTTAATTATTTTTCTCTATTTTTACTAATATTTGATTTTTTGATTTATAGATACATTAAATATTCTTAAAAACCTTTTTTACACCATAAAATTATTTTTATAATAAATATTTCAATAATTTATCTCTATTTTTTTACTATTATCTTAAATACCACCTAAACTATACTTAAATGATTGAAAATAATTATTACAAGACTATAATTTTTTGTAAAAAAATTAAAATTAATTAATTCATCAATAAATATATTATTTTTCCAACACTATTCATTTGTAATTAAATTAATAATTTGTAATTTTAATCAATTGTAAAATTTTGTTGGTAATTGTAGTGAATAATTAGTTACAAATTATTCAAATATTAATCTTTTGAGACCAAATGAATAATTATCTATAAATGATAACTAATGATTTATAAAACTATTTTCAAACTAAATTATCAATTCAATTTCTATATAAAAAAACCCTTAATTGAGTTACCAAAATAACAATGCTAGGATTACTTAAAATCTTTTTTTTATTAAATATAAATATTGACTTAATTTTGTCCCAAGTAATTTTGATAAATTGGTTTGATGGTTAAAAAAGTACATTTTATTTTTTAATTAAAATTTTAGACTTAGTATTTATGAAAATTTATTAAATTTTTCTAAATTTATCTTATATTGTGAAATTATAAATATGTCTTTTTGAAGTTTTCTAAAACTTGTTGATACAACAATCACATATTTTTTATATTTTAATTTTTTGTATCAAATAAACATTGTAATATATTTTTCAGTAATTTTTTTATGTAATTATCAAACAGTAAAAAAAATGTTTTTAAAAAATAATTTCTTAAAAAATAACTTTCTCAAAAATTAATTTTTCTATTAAACTTATTTTTCATCAAACAAACACAACCTCGAAGCATCCAAGCATTCTACAGAAAGAAGAGCAGTGTATATGCATATACCGTATACCTTTTTTTTTTTTTTTTTTTTCACTTGTTGGGTTTTCAGCACATTACATCACCCTTAAAGCCCAATTGGCCCATCAAATTCACACATGAGTACATATTACCTTCACTCCAAAGAAAAAGGACAAAATACACTCTTTCTTCCCCTGAGAGAAAAATCAAGGCAGGCCAATACTCTCTTGTCCTCCACCCTGTCTCCACCCAAATCATGAGCCACTCTCTCTCTCCACCGCCTTCCTCCGCCGGAGACGGCGGAGACATCGATATACCCGACCCATGGTACGGAAGCATCCAATACCTCTTAAACATCTCAACAATTGGTCTCTTTTTTTGCATCTTCATCTTCCTCTTCGCCAAGCTCCGCAGCGACCACCGCCGCATGCCTGGCTTCTTCGCCCTAGCCACCAAGCTCCTTGCCGTGTGGCACGCTACCGGCCGTGAAATCGCCCGCCAGTGCGGTGCTGATGCTGCCCAGTTTCTTATAATTGAAGGTGGAAGCTTTGTTGTTGTTTTGTCAATTGGGATCTCAGCAATTTGTGTTTTGCTTCCTTTAAATGTGTATGGGGGGAGTCAAGTTATAAACGATGAGTTTTCAAAGACTACTATTAATCATATTGAGAAAGGTTCAAGCTTGCTTTGGATTCATTTTGTTTTTGTTGTTATTGTTGTGCTTTTAGTTCATTTTGGTATGTCTTTGATTGAAAAGAGGCATAAAGTTACTAGATTTAGAGATGGGAATGGGAATTTAAGTGACCCAAATGCCAATTCTACAGCCATTTTTACTATTATGGTTCAAGGATTGCCTAAAAGCATAGGAGATGATAGGAGGGTTTTACAAGAGTATTTTCAATATCGGTATCCCGGCAAGGTTTATAAGGTTATTGTGCCTATGGACTTGTGTGCATTGGATGATTTAGCGACTGAATTGGTTAGAGTTAGGGATGAAATTACTTGGTTGGTTGCAAAAATTGATTCTCGGCTTTTGCCGGAAGATAATGAGGGTGGTGGTGGTGGAGATGGGTTTTGGGAGAAGTTGAGAGGTGGGGTGGTTTGGCTGTGGAGAAATGTGAAGAATTGGTGGGATAAGATGATGGATAAGTTGGGGTATACGAATGAAAAGAAGTTGAGGAGATTGCAGGAATTGAGGGCGGATTTGGAGACGGAGTTGGCAGAGTATAAAGAAGGTCGTGCACCAGGTGCTGGAGTTGCGTTTGTGATATTTAAGGATGTTTACACAGCTAACAAAGCAGTTCAGGATTTTCGGAATGAAAAGAAGAGGCGTTTTGGCAAGTTCTTTTCTGTCCTGGAGTTGAGGTTGCAGAGGAACCAATGGAAAGTTGAACGAGCTCCACTGGCAGCAGATATTTACTGGAACCATTTGGGGTCGTCAAAGTTGTCGTTGAGGTTGAGGAGATTGTTTGTGAACACATGCTTGCTGTTAATGCTTCTATTCTTCAGTTCTCCTCTTGCTGTGATAAGTGCTTTTAATAGTGCTGGCCGAATTATTGATGCAGAAGCAATGGATAATGCGCAATCATGGTTGGACTGGGTACAGAGTTCCAGCTGGTTTGCATCCTTAATCTTCCAGTTCCTGCCGAATGTTATTATAATTGTCAGCATGTATATAATAGTTCCATCAGCTCTTTCTTATCTGTCCAAGTTTGAACGTCATCTAACTGTGTCTGGGGAGCAAAGAGCTGCGCTTCTGAAGATGTTTTGCTTCTTCCTTGTGAACCTCATTCTGTTGAGAGCACTGCTTGAGTCTTCTTTGGAAGCTGCAATCCTGAAGATGGGTAGGTGTTATTTGGATGGAAAAGATTGCAGGAGGATTGAGCAGTACATGAGTGCATCATTTCTCTCAAGATCTTGTCTCTCTTCACTTGCATTTCTAATCACAAGTACTTTCTTGGGGATATCTTATGATCTATTGGCTCCCATCCCTTGGATAAAGAAGAAGATTCAGAAGTTTCGGAAGAATGACATGCTCCAGCTGGTGCCTGAGCAAAGTGAAGAGTACCCATTGGAAGGTCAAGCCATAGATACTCTTCGGAGACCACTGATGCCTGATAATGTGTTTGATTCTCCCAGGTTGAATGGAATTGATGAAGAGGGACAAGATCTCTATGTGTATCCAATGAGCAGAACCTCTCCCATTCCTAAGCAGACATTTGATTTTGCTCAGTATTACGCATTTAATTTGACAATATTTGCGTTGACCTTGATAAATTCATCATTTGCTCCGCTTGTGGTCCCTGTTGGTGCCGTTTATTTTGGGTATAGGTATGTGGTTGACAAGTACAACTTTCTGTTTGTATATAGAGTCCGGGGGTTTCCGGCTGGCAACGATGGGAGGTTGATGGATACTGTATTGGGTATCATGCGGTTCTGTGTTGATCTATACCTCCTATCGATGCTTCTGTTCTTCTCAGTTCAAGGCGATTCCACGAAGTTGCAAGCTATTTTCACACTTGGATTATTAGTAATGTACAAATTATTGCCTTCTGATAGTGATAGTTTTCGACCAGCTCTTTTGGAAGGTATACAAACTGTTGACAGTATTGTAGATGGACCCATTGATTATGAGGTATTCTCACAACCCAGGTTTGACTGGGATACATATTGTTCATGATTTGAAGCTTAACAACTGTACGGAGGAGTTAATCAATTTGCGACTTGTGTGGGTTGTAAAGTTTTGTCTAAGGTTTTTGTTCCATTGCTAGAACTCCATTTTAACTCTTTCTAACTCACAAGAATTTGCTACTACATTGTATTTTGAATAATGGTAAATCGTTATAAGACTAACTTCTGTTTGCGTACATCATAAAACTAGACTAATTTCTTTTATACTTCCATTGCTTCCATTATACAAGTAGACTAATTTCTTTTATATTTCCTCTGGCTGATGTGCTTCATTCAACGTTCTTCTTGCATCTTGGAAGAATTTACATCCTGGCTAGGTTCATATTAGCTTATTATTGGGCATAGGTTTCTTAAAGACAGTATTAAGAAACTAAACTACGTGGTGGCTTGTTGAAACTAGTAATGATGAAGCTTGAAATTGGTGCAAGGGTTATTCTCTTGTGTGTTGTGCGCTTAAGTAAATAGATATTATATTCGGTTGCTAAAGTCTGATTGTTTGCTTTTCATTTTTCCATCACGTCAGAACTGAAATTTTAAGATTTGTTGACAGCATCCCGTTCGTTTCAGGTCCTGATAGGAAATATGTGTATGCAAATGTTGGTTGTAAAAGGAGATTTTTTTTTTTTTTATCTTGTACATACTGATGTGAAGTTTGCATATGCAAATTTTACGGGCCGGTCCAACATCCTTTTCTGTGTTGAATTCTTGACTGATAGCTTATAAAATTTGCATGGACACGAGATGCTCTGTGATAGCATCATATCGAGCTCGTTGCAGTTTGAAACCTGAGGACACACCTACATGACACCGTGCTGGTTGCCTGTCTTTGCTACAAAACACCTAAAAATGTGAAGGTTCATGCCATTTCAAATGAGTTGCCTCCAGATTGGCACCACTCACCCAAGTTTGAAGGACACATGTCATAAAATGTACCAAACGAGGCTCAAATACTTGGACAAAATGAATTTTAGGCCACATGAGAAACAGAGAGAAGTTGAGGGGGATCAAAGCCAACTAGTCAAGACCATCCTACATTTACTCTTATCCATGCAAATGCTCTCTTTCACTTGAACAACAAGGTCAAAAAAACATTGTGGCTCCACTGATCAGTAATTAATTTCTCACTCTCAGCTCCCTCTCTTTCTCTCTCATAATTGTGTGGCTACTCCCCTGAAACAAATGGATAAATTCCATTTGCCATCATTTGAATGAGTGCTCATTAATACATAACAAGAGTAGAAATATTGCGAGTCACGAGAAGGTTGTTTTGTGTTCTTTTGCTTGTGACTTTGCTTTGCTTCTGTAGGTCACGCGAAAATATATGTATCATCTACCAGTAAAAAGTAATCTAGTTGATTCAATTTCAGACACAACCAAGAACGGTTTTGGAGGCAATAACCAGCCCCTTTGTCCGAAACCCCGCCGGCTCGGACCTGCTGTACCTGAATTTATCAAGCCCCTCAGATGTAGCAAGCATAGGTGTGAACTTGTTCATGAATTCATAACTATACATTTTGCCTGGTGTATAATTACTATTCTATTCTCATTCTCATTTGTTATTTTTTTTCATCATCAGCCAACCAATTACTGATGGAAGAAGTGGAATTCTGAGCCTCGTTGCTGATAAGGTCAGTACTTGGGTACTAATCTTTTGTTGCCGCAATTTCAGGTTTTGGTCATGTTTGTAGTGCCTAATTATGATTTTGATATGGATGTGTATTTGTTAGGCAATTGATGGTAGAGAAACTACATGCACAGGGTGCTCACCATTTTGTCACTCAGGATCTCCTCCAGGCAGAACTCATAATCCATTGGTTCATGATGTTCACTTCATTCATCAAATGGAACTTCTTTCACCATTCACAAGAACCAAACTTACTGATAAATTTGGCTTCACTTCCACCTCTCCAATATGAGAGACTTTTGGGGATGACTGTCCAAACATCGTCCTTTAAATGGGATTTTTTTTTGCGTCACTAGTACCATTCTTTTTTTTTTTTCTCTTTTGGCAGCGTTGATTAGCATAAGCACAAGTGATTTTGTTCTTGTTCTGTTCCCATCTATGTGTCGAGGCACTCCTTTGTACATATATCAATAGATGAAAAGGGCCACTTGTATCTTGCACATATTGCTTGGTCAAAAGATCAAGCCTTTTGAATGAGGATTTTCTTTTCTGTTTTTCAAAAACAAAAAAATGCATTTACCTTTCATGCAAACATATTCTCAAGATATGTACTTCTATTTTTGAGCAGTTCGAATGATTAGACGTTAGCTGTTGTCAAAAATTAAGGGCCAAATTGGCACGTTGAAGGTACGATACATTGACTTGAGGCAAGCCTAATCTCCTGGAAGGAGACCGGAGCAAGTTCTCTTTTATAATAGTATCAGTTTATTTATTTATTTATCTGCCGTACGATATGGTTGAATAAAAGATATAAAATTATTAAAAAATTTTAATTTGATAATCTATTTTATGGTGAGAATCTATAAAAATTTTTGTATTTAACTATTTCTTATTTGTGTTTTTTTATAATTTTTTCCCTTGAAAAAATGATTTATCCTTATTAATCCATGGATTATTAACTAACAAAAAATTGAATAATTTTTTTTAAAAAAGTTTTAGTTTTTCATAAGATTGTGCTGAAAAACATAAATAACAATTATTAAAAACTTACATAGAATTGAATACAAATTTTTTTTATTTAATGTTGATGAGAATATCGGTTTACGAAAAAAATATAAATTTAATTTTTATATATTTATTTAAAAAATAATTAATAATATTAAAATAAAAAATTATATTAATTTGAATCATCATTCGATGGTTAAGCCAAACATAATTTTAATTATTTAATTTAAAATAAGTTAATTTTAAAATATTCATAAATAAATAAATAAATAGTAAATGCTTAATGTAGTAGTAGTTGCAAAGTTAATTTTTTAAAAAAATAATGATTCAATATTTTTTTATACATTATAACTATACAAAGTGAGTTTAGAGTTTTCGATCTAAAACAAAAAATACTATAAAAAAGAGAGGTTAACTTGCATCTATCGACTAAATTTGAAGTTAATAGACTAAAATAAAAATTATTACAAATTTGATTTCGATTAATTTTGATTATATAAAAAAGAAGCAAATTAATAAAACATGCGAATTCTTATTCCTTTTTTTTCCTACTTCTTAAATAAATAAATAAATAAATAAATAAATATATATATATATATATATACACACATTTATTTATATATTTATTTATTTATTTATTTCTATGCCATGCACGACTAGTCCTTGAATATAGCCCTCATGCGCGAGCAACCATCTTCTTTTTATTTTTTACATTTGACTTTCAACTATTAATTAATTAATTTGATTTTTTTCTAAAAGAAAAATCAAGAAAAAATTATTTGAAATACTCTTTTAATCTAAAAATTTATTTCGGACAAATTATATATATTAATTATGTCACTATAATTTAAAAGTTATCTAAATCTATTTTTTAAAAGAAAAAATAATCATTTTTTAAAAATTTATTCCAAAATTCATACATATAGGAAAAAAATCAAAACTCGTTAATAAATATAATTTTAAATTAATTGGATGAGAATTTTTTTTTAAAAAAGACAATTTAGAGTAGTAAATTTTAAATAATAAAAATAATTAACAAAAAACACTAAAAAAAAATAGGACCAAATTACAATATAATCAAAGTTGGAAATTAAAAAAAAAAAAAAGAGAGAATTTAAAAAAAATGACAAATTAATGTAGTAAATTTTTAAATAATATAAAAAAATTGAGAATTTTTTTTTGAAATATACTTTTAATCTAAAAATATATTTTAGACAACTTATATATATTAATCATGCCACTATAATTTAAAAATTAGCAAATCTATTTTTCAAAAGAAAAAATAATCATGTTCTAAAAATTATCTAAATCTAATCATGTTACTCTATTTTTCTACCTTAATTTTGTTTATTATTTTTTTAATACCCAATTTAAATAAATAAAATTTGAAAATTAAAAATAAAAACTAGAAAAAAAGAAAGTAAAGAAAAAAAATATTTTTTTTATCCAAAATATATTTTATGAATTGAACTTACATTTATCTCTATAATAGTAAGCAAGTTTGGAGTATAAAATGAAATATTTATAATTTTGTTTTTTAATGTATAGAGTTTTAGTTAAACTTTTAAATGATACTTATATGTTATAATATCTCAACAAGTTTTTTATAATTTACTTATTTTGATTTTATAAATTTCTTAATTTGACTCAAAAGTAAGAATATAATTTGTTTTTAGTATTGGACCCAAATACAAACAAATTTCTTAACTTGAATAAAAATTATATTTTTACTTTCAAGTCAAATTAAAAAATTTATAAAATCAAAATAAGTAAATTATAGTAGACTCTTTTGAGGTATTCTAAAATTATAAATGCCATTCAAAATAAATATTTAACTAAAACTCTATTCACATTTAAAAAAATATACTATAAATATTTTATTTTATACTCAAAATTTGCTTATTATTATATAGATAAATTTAAATCCATAAAGGATATGTTATATAAAACAACTATTTTTATCTTCATATTTTTTATTATTTTTAATTTTTAGAGAAAATAATCGAATATATCTTTACTTTTTTTCACTTATTTATTTATTTACTTAAATTTGGTAAGAACAACAAAATTAACATGAAAACATAGAGTAAAGGGGTGAGATTAAGAAAAAAATTAACATCGTTAATCTAAAAGTTAATGAAAGAACGAAATTAAGATATAAACCAAACTTAAAAAAGATGAATTTAAGTTGAAAATAAAGAACACATTAAAGACAAAAAAAAAAAAAAAAAAGTTACCAGACTTACCTTAGCCCTGGCATGATACATGGAAATGGTATTGGAGAAAATATCGGATGCATTTTTAATCCACTCGTATAAATTCATTGCAAACTATCATTAAGTGGTTATGGAGCCCGTCATTTAGTAATTATTAGTATGGTATTTCTATGTTTCTATGGGTAAGTTTATAGACTTCATTTAATAGTATAATTAACATAAAAAATTTAAATTAATGAAATTAAAATAAATCAACATTAATTGTGATTTTTTTAATTGAATATGTACTTTATAGTATTTAATATAATTTTTGTTTTTATTTTTAAGTTTAAATATATGTCATAAATATATTTGATTTTGATAAATGAAAAGGTAGACATGCAATTAATTATCTATATCACCTAAAAATCTAATTAAAAGAATCAACAATTGGAAGATGTGGAGAACAACGAAAATATGTTGAGCAATCTACATTGAAAGGATGGTTAATTAATCAATAAATCTATGACTATTGATTAAAAAAATTCTATTATTCTCAACTGGATAGTTATTTTATTATTATTATTATTATTTTGCATCAATGTAATTCAACTATTTTGACAACAAGTTGTCTTTTGGGCCACCACCAGTGATGGTACTTCAACTTTGTCATCGTCGTCTTCTATTTCCAACGATCACTTGGTCAGGAAAAAAAAGATGCTGTTTTTGGCTTCCCACAACCAATTTTTACACTATTTTCATTTAAAAATACCCTAAAATCATCTTAAATGCAAGTAAAAACCCTTTTTAATCTCAATACATGTTATAATGCACCATCGAAACCCAAACTGCAAAACCCTCCTCTTTGTCTTGCCTCCTCCCTCGTCCCTCAATATTCACGGACTCTGTTATGAGGGAAATGAAATTTAAGAACTATTTTGTATAAAATTATAACTCTAAGGATCAAAGTATAAAAAATGCATAGAATTTTCAAAAAATCACTTAAATTTTTTTTTATTTATGAAACGACATCATTTCAAGCACAACCTCAAGAAAAAAGCACTTAGAATGAGATCGTTTTATTTGTTGTAGTATGGACTTAGTTACGGTAAAATCATATTTTATTTTAATTTCTTTATTATAAGCTCATGGATTTCTCATGGCATTATAGTTTAATACTAGCTGATTGCCAGGGCTATGTCACATGAGGGGAAACAAAATTATTTCAAAATTTATATTTTTATTAAATTTGTATTTATTTATTTTATTTCAACATGATTCATTCTTCTTTATGCATTGATTTTTAAGTAAAGTTTTTTAATAATTTAAAATAAAATATTAATAAAGAATTAAAAACTTATATATATATATAAGATTTTATCTAAAAAATAAATATATAATTAATGTATAGACTTGTATAAAAATTAACAAATGAAAAAAATGCATTTTTATTCTTATTTAATGTTGATTGAAAGATTAATTTTTGAAAGTATTTGCATTTCATTTATATATATTTATTTACAAAATAATCATTAATGTTATATTTATTTAAATCATTGGGTAGTTCTTTTAAAAAATTATTTTAATTATTTTCTTTTAGAAAAATTGATTCTACAATGTTAAAATTTTTTTATAGCAAATAGTTGATGTTATGTGTGAAGATGTGTAGTTAATTTTTAATAAAATCAATAATTCAATATTTTTTTATATGTCATGATCATATATAGTGGCCCGAGAAAAATTATCTCGAAATACATTTTTAACATTTTAGGTTAAAACAATTATATATTTACATATATGCCAATATCATTTAAAAAATTCTAAGAGTTCATGATATATATTTTATTAATTTATTTTTTAAAAAAAGAGAAAACAATCATATTTAAAAATTTTATTGAATAGAATAAGATGGAAGTCCATATGATATCCATTTACATTAGTGATTGATTGAAAGATGTAAGACAAACACTAATACACATAAATGATATCATTAAATGTCCCAAATCATAGCATTGTCAAGATTGGATATTGACTATATGCGGTTAGACTTGCGAGGGTTATGCTCATGCTATATGAAAGTAGTAGGAGATAT